TTTATCAATTCGTATTCCAACGAAAACGACCTGAAGAACGTTTCACTCAGTACAATCAAACACTCGTTCGAGAAGACAAATCACGACGACCGATCATTGAAAATTTTAAACGGAAACGATCAAAACTTTGAAATTAATTCCGAAAAATCCATTTTTTTTTCACAAATTTCCTACATCTCTTCAAATGTTCCATGTTTTATCAATGGCGAAATGCAAACAAAATGCAAAGTTATACGCACTTAATGACGGCAAGAGCTTTGCCGTTATCCGGCTTTGGTGCTACTAAGCGACATAAATCAATTCGTGACCCACGTGCTACACTCACCACCAGACTTCGAGCCTTCGCAGCAGATGTCAACTGCAAACCGAATTGTAAAATACGAGTGGCTGACTGAACATTCACTTACGTTTGTTACATTGTGCTAATTTTACACTTGTTCATTTACACTCATTTTTTAATTAATATTCATACATTTAAGTATGACTTAGTTGTTATACTACCAATATGTTCAAAACATTCAAATTAGAAAGGTTCAGTTGATTACCTATTATTTGTCATTGACGCTGAACTCACATCACCTATGCAAGAAGTGGATGCTGGAGTGTACAGACCAAGGACGGACAAAAAATATGAGGGAGGGAGGATGGGTGGGGGGAGGAGCATTAACATTTCCCAAAAACTCAGTTATCACTCAGTTCGAAAAGAAAAAACCAATCAATCCCTTCAAAAAGAAATAAACGAAATTCCAGTGGTAAAACAAACAGACTTTGAAATCAACGAACTGCCAATCGACAAGAGGTGGTCGATCTGGCGGGCCTGTGAACGTGTTCACGAATATCAACTTAGCATCACGCACACTAATCAACATCAGTTTCGACAACGATAACAACGCCAAAAGGGTATCGTTCGCTAACGATGCAATATGAACCACCTAAAACAAAAACAAATGCAAACGTTCCAGATTATATTTATTATTCCAGATTAGTTTTTTACTTTAGATTTTTACTCCAACAATTGAACAAGATGAAAATGTTATTTTGCTAACAGAATGCTTTAACCGATCCACAATGTGAGATGAATTCAGTTTCTATGAAATTAAACATTAACACCATGGTGTATGGATGAATGAACGACTAATGATAAACCAAAATGGAATGAATAATAATAATAATAATAATAATAATCCTTCTAATAATAATATTCTCTTTGAAGTAATATAATCCAAATGTAATCCTTAATACAACGTACCTCTCCATGGCATCCTGAGAAGACACACTTAAGTCGCGCTGATCTAACCCGTGTATGTGTTCGCATTTCGTAGACTGAACCACCACTATCGACTATCATTAAACGTCGACCACTGCAAAATTTCAATTCCATTCGAGAGTTTCGATATAACCGAATAGTTTCATTTCATTTAATAAATGTTTCATTCAAATAGTTTTATTTAATAAATGGAATCGATCGAATAGTTTCACAGTTTCATTTGAATGTCATTCGGATTAGTTTCATTTAATAAATGTCATTCGGATTATTCTGAGAATCGATCGAATTGCAAACTGCTTACAAAAGACCGACACACTTTGTCATAATCATACTACTGAATCACTTCAATTCGTTGGTCAGTAAAGGAGCGAAAGTGCCATTTCACATACTGTTGGAAAAACTGAATGAACTAAGAGAGGTTTGAGGATAAATCATAAAATTTGCAATTGCAAAAAGGAGATAATATGTAAAGATTATTCTTGAAAAACGTTGAAGAATTATATGATAACAAGAACAGAGCTCGCATTGAACAAGAAACTGTGTCAAAGGAAATGATAATTTCAGACCTGCCCAAGAATAATATCTGAATGACACCTCTTCCGGGTTGTACCACCTCATTACTATCTTCGATCATTCGCCCATTCAGCACATTCACAACTTTCAACAATCCGGTAGCATAACCAATTGCTAACTTTGCACCATCAACGTTAAAATTAAGACATGACACTGGACTTCCATCCGAAACAATTGAACGCTCTAATCTGAAAATATTTTTCATCAAAAAAAGTCACATCAATAAAAATTACATGTATTTCAAGCCAACATATCTTTGGTGATATGTTCATTATACATTCATAATCAATTTGTGTTTCCTTGAAGGAAGCTTGCAATTAGCTTCTCTATACAGCAGATGACTTTTCGAAATTATTCAGTCTTCGTGAAAATATCGTGATTGTTTTCATTGTGTTAACTTTTCGAAATCATTATTCAATACATTCTTTACACTATATGAAAATGTTTGTAGTTCGTTCAAGAGTATGCCTAAATAATGCCTTCTAATGAACTCTTATTCAGTCGCAAATATGACTCGAACAAAATCGACAATGAATAAAGTGAACCGTTGAGTGAGCCGTGAAAAAATGAGCACCAGACCACGACTGGTGCCGACGGCAATATGTTTCGATGATGCAGCTATAGCACTTGATGGCCCACCAAAACGATGCTCAAACTGGGATTTCAGCTGGTGCGATACTCCATCTGAACGCTATCAATTAAACTATTTTCAATTTTGCGATTACTTACGATATGGATGATCTCACAAATTCCAGTTGACTTCCAAAATCATCAAATAAAAAAACCGTTCACTGCTCAAAAATTATTCGCTCTCCATGTTGGTTTAATTATCGTGAATATGCGTATTTTTTAGAAGAAGAGTTTTTTTGCCAAAATTTTAAGCCTGTATATCTCTCCTCTAAAATCCTCTAATACGTTTGTGAATATAACAATCAATCGTGGCACTACTCACCCAAATATTGGAATGTAATTGGTGAATCGAGGATATAGCATACTGGTGATAAAGCTCTAGCACTATGAGTGCCTGTTATCATCGACGAATCGTCATCCTCCACACAACTCAAGTCTTCATCGAAATTGATCAGTTTCTAAAATTATCGAAGTTTTTGAAATCTTTATTGCAGAGTTGCAGATTTGAAGAGATAACTACAGACACTATTTTTCATGGCATTGGTAAATTGTTTTCTTATCAATGATGTCTTATTTTCGTTCCGATTCTTTTAACATTACTGAACTGCCTCTCGCCTTGACAGTGAGACTCAACCTTACTATATAATGTGAACGTGAATGTTGCTCTAATCGATCAATTATCACCAAAGACGATCACGGTTCTATCGTCGAAATGAAAACATCAGTTTCAAAAAATCAAACTAAAATTATCGAAGTTTATCGAATTCACATTGAAGAACAAACCTCAGCAAGTATTTCATCCAGTGTTTGCTCGGGTACACTAATCGTATCATCGATTTCAATCCAACGATCAACGATATCTTCATCAGTGGTCACCGAAGACATCGCAGAAACACTTTTGGCTCATCGATCACACAAACGAGAACATCCACGCGATAGGCACAACTTCACAATTAGCCTTTTCCTTTTCAAATGCTGAATCTTTTTCGGAACTTTTTCCAATCGACAACAATAAAACAACGACGACAACGATAAATACACAACAAACTAGCTCGAAAATTACGTAGTCACGTCGAAATTAAAACGACATTATGATAACATGCATTCTTCACGTTCGGCTGAAATTATGTACTAAAAATTCTAGTACAGATCTGAAGTCGAATTGCTGCCTTAAGCTGAAGTTCCACTGGCAACTTCGACACCCGAATCGCATGTGAATAAAATAGCATAAGAAGCTATCTAAAATAGTGAATGATAATAAATCAAAAAATTTGCACGTGAAGATAACGTGATCATTTTAGTTGAGACGAAAAAAACCGAACAATAGCTGTTGTCCGTTTTCAGATAAAAAAGAAGATAGAAAAT